AATGGAAAAATACATTTTTCTAAGTCTGGTCTATTATTATTATTATTTTGCTTTTAAAATAGTACTTATAAGTAATTACTTAGAATGTCTTATAAAAAAAGAAGTTGCAACGTCAGTTAATTAGACCTGGCAGAATCTATCCTGACATTTGAGCTGTGCTGGAAAGATTTTGCTAAAATATAATCAATAACTTACAATGGCCTTTTGACTCTCCATCTGGCTGTGAAGTATGGTTGTGTGAATCTTGCTAAGCAAAGAAACTCCTTACTTTTTTCTTGTTAAAGAGTTTTGGACCCCAGAAGGAATATGTGGAGATGCCTTTAAAAATTGTGAACAAAAAGGTCAGAAGGCCAAACAAGACAAGAAATAGAGAGTTGATGATAGATTGTCTTTATTATTATGTCAATATGTCTTAAATAAATTCCTATTACCAGATCTCCAAGACAAATGTTTACATTTTTTTCACTCACTAGCTTTGAATGTGAGTATGAGAAAAGTATTGAGACATAAATACACAGGTGGGTATTTAAAAGTGTCATTAATTGTCCATTTTTTTTATCTGTTTGCTTATTTTTACAGATTGCTTTGATGTGATTCTGAGAGGAAAAAGAAGATAACAATACAATACTTTATTTCCACAGAGTGACAATTTCTTACTGTTTTTGTCCTTCTCTTTATTTTAGTCTATTATTTTTTAATTTATGTTCCTATCTATCAAATTTATATGACCACCCATTTCACTGAAAGTAATTCTGGGCAACATAATTTCCTTAATCCTAAAATACTGGTAAGAGTCTCTTGTGACATGTACTTGAATTTATTTCTCTTTCCCTTTTCTTATCCAATTCTTAGTTCCTAAGAAAACAGACAGAAGTGACAATAGCAGGTAATTCTCCTTGAATTCTTTTATAATAAACATATTTTAATAAGTTCATCAAATTAGATATTTAAATTACTGCTTCATTACTATAATACAAGAATTTCTTTCTTAAATTCCAAAAACTTATACTATACAGTGTTTTGCTATATAACAGAAATAACAGTCATGAAGGAGCTGCATAGACTCTAAGAACATGTAGAAATGGCATAGTAGCTTGACTTTCTACTTTATTATTTACAATGAGTTATATATAATTTAACCATTATATTTACACAGGCAAAACCTAGTTTATTTATCAATACAGAATTAAACCGCTAACAACAACTGTACTGAGTATAGGAGATTATCACAAACTAATGTTTTACAAGTCCAAGTTGGACTTTAATGTTCAGAATTCCCAGCTATGTTATCTGGAAATTATGGAAATTGAAAGCCAAAGTCATAATAGAAATACTACATTGGGAAAAGATAACTTTACACAATACCCATTGCTTAGATATTATCCAAATATTTTCAGTGCTCATACTATTCTTACATTCACCACTTAATGATTAATGCCATGATATTATAAAGGCGATGGTTCTTATTGGAATTGCTGCTATTTATCTCTGTGTAAATAATTGTGCCTATATTGGATTACATTATATCTCATTTTAAGGAACTGACATTTCCAAAATCACATAATACTAAGTCATTGGTTTATTTTTCTGTTCATTAACTGTAAGTATTTAAAAAATCCAATGCTACCATGTAGCCTGTTTTGAATTGTTCTGACATATAAATGTGCCTGTCAATGTTGTTATTTATTTGTCACTGAGCTCGTTTGAAAAGTTCAGTATTATTGATTTGCTGATCTTGCATTTCCTTCATAAGCTGACAGATGCATTTTCTAGCAAAGGCTTTAATTTCCTTGGAAATTGGAATTCCATCTGGATTACTCATTAATTTTAGAAACATATGACTCGATGAATGACTACAAGGGAATTTGTCAAGCTTTTGTCCTATAATTAAATTTGAATAGCTAGGCTAACAAGATTGTGTATAGTTGAAAGCAAACAGTAGAATAAAATTACATGATCCTTTGTGCTGGAGAGACTCATGGCTAAATACTATTAGTTTAAGTAAATATTACATTACTATTTAGTTCTGAAAATATCTTTTTAGGAAGGTTAGGTTTATTATTAATAATTTTACCATTCCTGACATTGTAGAGTTTAATAACAAAAGACCTTGCTTAATATTGCAAGGTGAATAACAATATAACTAAATAGGGCAAAGAGAAAAACAATTAAGTGGGCAAGGAGAGAAATAATATCAAACTCCATAGCTAGACAATATTCTTAATACCAAAAAGTATGCCTCTTTTACCGTTTCTAGATACTTCATAAAGCAAAGTGCTACAAAAAGGAGAAAATGTGGAAGAAGCAGATAATGTTTGAAAATTAGGTTAGCTATTGTTGCAACCATAAGGTTATCAAATTAGTGACAGTCTCAAGATTATTGTAGATTTAATGTTTTAGACACTGGTAATGTTTGCAAACATCAGTTAATCTGTAGCTTTATGAAACAAAGCAAGGATGACTTTGTGGCTGGCCTGCCACTTTGCAATTCTGAAAAATAAAAATTGACCAAGTCTAATATATATTTTCTGTCGTAGTTATCAGGTAGGTGTGTTTTTATGGTCAAAAAGTTATACTTCTTGATAAAGAAGTAACTTTGTGCTATATTGGGAAAACTTTAGATTCTTCAGTTAAGAATTGTTGTTGTTGTTTTTTTTCAATTCTATCCCACTGAAGTGAAATACTCTGGAGCTTAATCAATACACCCTGATGCTTCCAGAATATAGCAATTTATCTGAGGAGCTCATTTTGCTGGCTTTGCAGTTGAACTTTGCTGTTTTGTTGGTGATTACACTAAACCCTGTGATTGCTATTAAACTTTGAAATAAGTGGCTACTTTTCTTCATGGAAGCCTTCTTAAATCCATGAAAATCAGATGATAAGTAGAAAGAGGGGAAAAAATGAATTTATGAACCCCCAACTTTAAGAGCGTATGGATTTAGGTTCATCTCCTCCCAGATATTTGGACGACATGTTCCATAATATTCCTATAATGGTTCTTCCATAGTTTTGTCTATGGAGATTCTCAATCATCCAGGTCAGGGGTAAGTGTTATATTTTAGGATTACCTCCTGTCTCTCCTCCCATGACTATAACCATGTTGCTTGTATTTTTACGATTTATATTGTTCTGTTTGTTTCCTAGTATGATTTGATTGCTTATTAGTAACCTATGACTATCACTAAGTGTTATATCTTATGATTCTTGATTAATGTATTTTTTTTTCTTTTTTTCCTTTTATGTACACTGAGAGCATATGCACCAAAGACAAATTCTTTGTGTGTCCAATCACACTTGGTCAATAAAGAATTCTATTCTATTCTAATTTCCAAAATTATGTTAGTTTGATATAAAAGAAAGGGAAACACAAACTAGCACATTTTATAATTAACATTATATATGTTTTCCTTAATAAAAAGATCATTATTTTCTGTATAGAACTACAACGAAGGAAAATAATTAGAAAACCAGTAATACAGTGAAGGAGAAAAGTAGATAGAATATTTAAACATAAGTTTACTTAATGCATGCATTTATCTGAAATTACAACCAGCAGAAATGAAGTCATACAGTAAAATGAACAATTGACACTGCTATTGACAGGCTCTAGGCATAAATACATTTATTGGATAAATTTTTAACAAGATAAAACAAGATGAATATTGTTAGAAAAGAATTAGAAAAGAAACAAGAAAAATAAGGAACAATACCATAACTAAAAAAAATGTATAAAAAGAAATAGAAATATAAAAGAAAAAAAGATTATAAAGAAACAGCTTCCAATCGTTTTGCTAACTCTTGTAAGTAAGTTAAAAAGAAAAAAAATGTAACTGTTTTATATATAAATCCCCAATTGCAACCAAACTGATATTGAATGATGATTATGGTAGATATGTGATGGTGGAAGTACTTTATATATAGTCTGTAGAAGATGCCCAGGTTGAGCCCGAAAGAAGATTAAATATATCATGAGTCCCTTCATGCTTACAAGTCCAGCCCACCTTGAATTCCTTTCTATTCTTTTCTTCTCCTAATTTCCCTTGACCGTTAGTAGTTCAGATTCTTCTACAGATTTTAAGATTACAATAAATCTTTATATACATATGAACTGCCTGAATCTCTTGATTTCCCTGGTGTTTGACATGACCAAGACTTTGATACTGGGAATATATGTTCCAAATGAGGATAGTGTAACTTTTTGCAAAGGATTTATGGACAAATTAATGGTTACCATATGAAAATTGGTACTTAATGAGAGATTGGAATGGATTAATTTGTCCTCAAAAAAGGAGGACAAAAAAGTGCCCAAAAAAGTGTGTTTGCTATTTGACAGGATAGACAATCTTGAACTTGTAGATCCATGGAGACATGTTAAGTGATGCATAAAAATACCTTTATTTTTAAGAAAGACCCAGATCATGTTTTGAATATTTTACAATTTGGCTACTGCTGTTCACAAAACAGGGATACTACCAAAGATATTTTCCCCCATACATCAATTCAGTGTTAAAAGGAAAACCAGATCTTTCAGATGAAGATTAAATGAAGCGTAGTTGCAGAAAGAAGAAATGATGGAAAATTATGGAAAAAAGTTAAAAGAAATTTTTGATAACAATCTTAATAAAGGTACAGATATAACAATGGCTTGGGATGCTATGTATTAAAAATAGATGGCAGTATTGGCAACATGCCCAGACAGTCTATTTTAAATTAACCATAATACAAACAAAAAAGAATTCAGTAAAAAAAAAAAAGCAAGCATAGAGGCTTATAAAATAATGCTTTTGCAGAGAGCTGTAAGCAAACTCAACTTTTCTGCAACAGATCCAACAGATTCAAGGAATGAAATATGATCAGGCTTGTCCATTAGCAGATTTTAAAGTAAAATGAAGGTCTCTTCATTCAAAGGACAATAGAACTTGTGAAACTGGTCTTGATGATTAACACAGAAGGTAGTTGGGAAACACATGAAATGCGGAAGTTGTATTGATCTGGTAAGACGTCATACTTCTGTAAACAGCTTTCACTTTTTTGGAAACTTCCAAATCAAGAAAAATTGATGTCTTACATTGGCTAGAACCTCTGTTCAAAGGAGATTTGACTGTTTCCTGGCAATATATACATAAAATCTCACTTCTAGTGATAACGGCACAATAATATTAGAAGCAGTTCCAGACTTTCTTCTCATTAAAGGAATTTTAATCACATGTTCAATTCTGACAGGAAAATCTGATCCAAAAGGTAGGTTTTTTTTTTTTTTAAATCCTCTATAAATTCACCCAGTTTTGATTGACTTGTAAGGTTTTCAATGCCCATCATATGTAGATCTTTCCTATACAATAGTAACTCTAAGTAAGTAATGTGTTTATTTAAAATACTGTTACTAGCTTGAATAACTGACCCAGAGCCATTTAGTTGATTCTCAAAATGAGCCATTTTTTAAAAAATCAGTTTTAAATTACATTTAAGCTCAGCCAGATCTTGTTGGATTACTTTAATATTTGTGCTCAAGTCAGGATCTCTTTTAAGAAATTAGTAGAAGAATCTTCCAATGTCTTCATGCAGCTAAAATTAAAGCAATTCCTGAATGTTTGGATATAGTCCAATACGATAGAAGTTTGAAAGCACTTTAATCAGAAGAGAGAGAGGGTGTGTGTGAAAGAGGTGTATTCACAGTGCCATCCTAAACAGGAAAACATATTTTTTTTATTTTTTTAAAAATAATTATCTTTAATAAATTTGATTGGTTTCTTTTGTACTTTTGTTAAGTTCCTTGTTGGTTTTTATAGTTGGTTGTTTATAGTTGGTTTTTTATAGTTGTTCATTTTCTTGTCTTTCTCTTTTTGTTTTCTTCTTCTATTGTACTCCTTTATATAAAACTTTTTTTACATAAAGAATTGAGGCCTTTTCAACTATGGTGCTAGAGAAGACTCCTGCGAGTCCCTCGGACTGCAAGGCGATCAAACTGGTCAGTCCTAGAGATCAACCCTGATTGCTCTTTAGAAGGCCAGATCCTGAAGATGAAAGTCAAATACTTTGGCCACCTAATGAGACGGACGGTCTCACTGGAGAAGAGCCTAATGCTGGGAAAGATTGAGGGCAAAAGAAGAAAGGGCCGACAGAGAACAAGGTGGCTGGATGAAGTCACTGAAGCAGAAGGCATGAGCTTAAATGGACTCCAGAGGATAGTAGAGGATAGGAAGACCTGGACGAACGTTGTCCATGGGGTCGCGATCGGTCGGACATGACTTCGCAAATAACAACAAATGTAAACTTAAAATAAAAATTAAAACAATTTTCTCATGTGTACATCATGCAAAAGAAATCATATTGAATAAAATGCCTTATATCTAAATTTCAATTTGGATTCTGTGTTTGAAATGCAGATTTAAATCAGTATATTTGTTACCTGAAAGTTTTCTTCCAAATCCTGATTCATCTTGCATAAATAATATGCCATTAGAAAAATATTGATTAGTTCCAAATCATATTTATGCATAACTTTCATAAATACAATGAAGAAGAATCTTTAGGTGAAAAGGGTACACAGAATAGAAACAAATGTGTAAAATACAGAACAAGTTCAAAGCCCAACTTAGGTATAATGCTAATTCACTGATTGACCAAGTACTCAGTTACTATTCCTCAATGAAATTTACCTCATGAGTTTATTGTCAGAGTAAAATAGGGGATTCTCAAAATGACAAGATGATTTTTTAAAATCCCCTCCAACTGTTTGGAACAAAAGCAAAATTTAAAGTTTTGGAGACCAGCACGGCCTTATTTGTTTGCCATGAATTGTTTAGCCCAGAAGTCTTCAAACTTGGCAGTTTTAAGACTTGTGGATTTCAACTTCCAGAATTCTGGAATTCTGGGAGTTGAAGTCCATAAGTCTTAAAGCTGCCAAGCTTGAGGACCCCTGGTTTAGCCACTCTTCTGGCTAACATTTCTGGCTTATGCTGGAAAAACCTGGCTACTATTTAAACAATACTGTCATGAAAAATATTATAAAACAACTTTCTGTCATGAAAAGTATTATAAAACAACTTACCTTAAATTTTAATTCTCCCCTGAAAATAAAAAAAATATTCTCCTTAAAACCCACAGTTCAGCTGCTCTGAATTTTAATTTGTTTTAATTTGAGCTTCTTTGCATAATATAAAAGCTGTAGCAATTCTTATAAATCACTAAGAATGATTATATTCTTGTACTGGCACGCCAATTAATTATGAGCTTTTAAATTACCACATTTATAGAATTTGTCTCATTGGACCAAGCCTACTCATTTACTGTGTCTGATTCACACAATTCTGCCCGCTTGTCAATCTAGGAAACACCTTATAAACTTTTAAGAAGATAGTTTCTCAGATAGTTGGCTTTTTTTTTAAGGTCAATATTAAATCTATTGATCCAAGTATGTTAAAATTGTACAGCCACATATTATGTGTCAGTTAAAAGTCTGATAATATCAGTGGTGGGATTCAAATTTTTTATTACCAGTTCTGTGGGCGTGGCTTGGTGGGCGTGGCATGGCTTGGTGGGTATGGCAGGGGAAGGATACTGTAAAATCTCCATTCCCACCCCACTCCAGGGGAAGGATACTGTAAAATCTCCATTCCTTCCCCACTCCAGGGTAAGGTTACTGCAAAATCCCCATTTCTTCCCAATCAGCTACGACTTGGGAGGCAGAGAATAGATGGGGGCAGGGCCATTCAGAGGTGGTATTTACCAGTATCTGAACTATTTAACTATTTAAATACCAGAGGTGGTATTTAAGTATCTGAACTACTTAAAATTTCCGGTTTTCCAGAACTGGTCAGAACCTGCTGAATACCACCTCTGGATAATATATTTCAGGACACATTATTTTGCAAGAAACCCCACCTATTTTCACTATCAGAAGTTCTATCTCCAGTTTTGGGCAATGATGAATATTCTCATATATTCATATTGAAAGATTAATATTACCCTGCATATTTTAGTAAAAGTATTTTTAAGCTAAAATATAAGGAAAATATATTCATTTTTAAAAATATGAATCTGTATCAATGTTTAATATTTGACATTTATTGGGAATTAAGCCTTACTGGAAGGTTTTTTATCAGTGATATTATCGCATTTGTATCATTTATTGTCAAGGTTTTTTTATGTTTAATTTTTAAGTAGGTGCATTAAACTCTATTTTGCCTTTCTGTTTTTTAGAGAACTATTTGAATTTTCATTGACTTTATTTAAATTTTCAGGTTTTCCTGAGCTGCTTTCACTTTACATTTTTATGTAAAAAATAATTTCACACTTAAAGAAAAAAAATAACTGAGAAAGAGAAAAAGGCAAAAAGTGAATATAATTCTGAACCCTTTGAAGAAATCTACTGGGTCTATGGACAGTGGGGATTATTTGGAAAAATAACTTTTTCTCTCATAATTTAATACTTGTAGTTTTTCTGCAAGGTTACATCATAACTGGTATAACAACTTGCATATCATTCTTCCCACATCAATGAGTCTAGATAAAGTTTTTACTTTCCATTGGTTTTTCTCATGTATGAAATACAGGTTTTTGGCTTTCATTTATACCTCTTTTTTGGGAAAAAAAATCTCTTACAAATTTTCTTAAACCAAGCCACTCCATAAATTGGATTTGTTCAGGGTTGGTCACTTTTGCTATTATGTCAATCCTTATTTGACCTTACCCTAATGAATGGAATCTAGCCAAATTTTATAGTGGCAGTCATTTTATTTTTCATGGAAGCATATATGTAGGACAGCATGGACATAGTCATGATAGCTTTTCAGACAGTGATTATGACATAAGTTAGCTAATTTAAGATTCCTACAAAGAAAGCCTAGAACGACTTCTGGTAGGAACAGTTATGGAAGACAGGTGATGAAATCTGACTTCAGTTATATAAGTAGTATTTTGCCAATAACAATAATCACTTAATCCCAGAATAAGCACCAAACCCAAGCACATCAGGTTGCTAGATTAAAAAAAAGTGAATTTAACCCTTAATGCAAAAGCACTTATCCACTAACTCTATCTATCACAGTCCAGAATATATAAAATGCTCATTATATCCATCCAGTTCCCGCCCCTCCCCCAGTGGTATACTCTACCAAAGTAAAAAAATACATTTCCTTATAGCTGATTACTAAGACTAATTAAACAATTTGTTTAATTAATAAAGTCTTATAATAATCATATCAAGTCTCCTTTCATAAAAGGAGAAGTACTGAGAAAGAACTTTTGTCAACACTCAGTAGGAAGAATATTTGCCTTTTCTTTAATTATTAATACATAATGTTCCAGGTTAATCCTGACAGGCAAGTTAAGTACTTATCAGGAAGAGGCAGTGAATGCTCCTAAACAGGATTAGCATGGGCAGCACCAGCCCAAAGCACAGCATATCTGCAAAATCTCTGATTTCATTCTACGGGTGACTGATTTAGGATTACTGTGCAAAAGAAATTCCTTTGTCCCTCAGAGAACCCCACCATATTCTTTTATGCTCTAGATAATATGGGAATGATTGTTTTCAATACAATATCTGTTGAAGAATTCATTTACATAATTTTTCCCTGCTTTGTTTATGCTAGGCTAGAGATAGGTAATTGGCAATTTGTGGAGTGGAAAAGAAAACTTGAGTCAGTAGGACTCACTGTAAACTTGGAGGAGGCTGTAAAAGAACTTACCTAATAATGTCAATGAAAACTTCAGTGCTAATTTAAAGCATTCATATCATTGCGTCATATTGAACTGTGTAACAGTCTTTCTCAGTTTGTTACTTTTTGATGTGTTGAAACAATTTTCAGGTTAGCACTGTACCTCTGAAAAACTGAATTGGCCAATCACTACAAATCAGACACTCAAATAAATTATACAGAGTTTCCGATCATGTAGAAAAACTTGTAGCACTTCTTTTATAAGATCTACTACTGTCACAGATATCAGAGTCAGGATCATCCAGCATGATCTTGCCACCTTTTAATGTACTTGGGATTTATGAGGTGTATGAAAAACATACAAGGCAGGAAACAAAAGCAAATTTAATTTCTTTAAAAAAAGATGGCAACAACATGACAATGACTTTTGTTGAGTTCTGTAATATATTTCTTTGGAAATCAGGGCTTTAGCTTCCAATAAACTTATTGCTTTGGTTGAAGGAATGTTTTCATCAAGGAGTAATCAAGTAAACAGCAAGAATCAAACCGTCTGGATTGTCTGAGTTGATAGGCAACCCAAAGAAGAAAAGAGGTGGGCATGGATTCCCCCCACTCCCCATAAATGTATAAAATCTTTAAGGAAAAAATTCATGGTCTATATAAAACAAATAAAAACTTAGAATCTTTTTTATAATGTAGGAAAAGCTAGTTACACTAATAATAAGATGACACACCTTATATTTGATTTGCTTTTCCCACTTATTAGCTTCAGGACTTTGTTCTTCGAAACAGATGTTTTTTCACATTAGGAGTGCGTTTAAATATTTGGAAATATGCCAGTAATACAATCTTTTAACTAAGATTTGGTTAGCCCTGGGGAGCGTGTGTTCGTATTTTCTGCAAGAGTTTGAGTTAGTTGTGCAACATCCTGCTACTCTGAAAAAAAAGACCGAAAAAGTGCTGAGTAATGCTTGAACTAGCTCGTATGGCTGATGCAAACCTGTGGAATTTGCATCATCATTCAGCAAAGCTAACTTGGTATGACAAGGAAGCTTAAACACAATACCGTACTGAAGTGGAGCTGGCTTCCAATGACAGAACAACACTGAGGTAGCTGAGAGAAGAAGCAGGTGTTTTTCAGTAGCAGTTTGATATCACTGAAAAGTTAAAAGACACCCGAGGAGCTTTATACCTGTTGGCACAAGCAGATTTAAAAGCTAGAGACAGTAAGGGACCATGTGCAATAGCTTTTAGCTAGGAAGAGACGAAGAGAAGAAAAAAAGAACAGAGAAGGTTTTTGTTTTAATCTTTGTAAATTGTGTGAGCTGCTCTAAAGCATGTTTAGGAAGTCTCCGGTCTCGTCATGTTCCAATGGGAGCTACCCCCAGGGACAATCTAAGTTGCCTTCAACATATGACATCAAGGTAGAACCAGGAGACAAAGTGGTGCTGAAGAAGAAAATAACTTTGCTGAGAGGAATATCCATTATAACTGGCACTATAATTGGAGCCGGAATCTTCATCTCTCCAAAAGGAATTCTCCAGAACACTGGCACAGTGGGAATGTCCTTGATTGTCTGGACTGTCTGTGGAATTCTTTCACTCTTTGGTAAGTTTTGAAAGTTTTTAATTGATCCTTGGGGTGGCTAGCTGTACTGATGATGCTATCTATCTATCTCTCCATCCATCCATCTATCTATCCACACAGATACACACAAAGTCTGAAGATCAAATGTTAATGTGCCTTTTGTACTGGATGGATTTAAGTTTTTGCTTTTAAAATAGATGGGGCTTCCAAAAATAGATAAGAAAGGAGTTTCCTAAATCATAAAATTTGTGTTATTTCTGTACACACTCTAAAAACAAGTTGCTGGTCTCCAACATATAGCAATATAGACTTAAATTACTTTTTTTTAATTAAATGAGACTAAAGTTTTTCTGGAATTGTAGATACTGAACTGGAGTTTCTTACTTCTAATCCTAACTGATAGGGAAGATTATTTGGCAAAAGTAAAATCCCCAGTGCATGCTCAGAAGCAGTCTTGTAATGTGTGAAAGCATTCTTGTAATGTTGGCCCCTACTGCAACTTAAAGTTCTAGAGTTTTTAAATTTAAATTTTCATGGTATGCATTTTCATTATTGAGCAATGTAAATTTCTTCTCAGCAGTTCTATATATGAGTGCAATTTTGAGGAGCAGCATTAATAATCTGCCTGACAATTTTGCAATGTACAAAATGGCATTGCTTAAAGATTTTGGATTTCTCTAAATATTAATAATTATATTGGGAGCACAATGTATCATTGATATTAGAATTATTGGTCCTTCTTAAACTGTCCAAACAATTAATTCATTGATTGCCTTAATCAGCTAAGAAGGGGATAAGCCATATGAGTAGAGTAATTATTATAGTCCATACTACTTTTTTCTAGCATTAGGAACAGTGGATAAACTAGATTGAGTATCAAATATCCAGCCAAGAAGTGGAATGAAGGTTGCTCTCTGTCAATATATTCTACATGTTAAAGAGCAGAGGTGAGGCTTAATACACGCTTGATAAACAAGTTGCTTTACATATACAAACTGGGTTAAAAGTAGGATGTAGAACAGACACATCAAGAATAATTTATGGTTGCTTCCTTCAATCTAGTTCTTCCTGGATATCTGGATTTCAGATTTTCAGAATTCTTAGATATGGTTATCAAACATTCTAGGAGCTGAAGATATGGAAAACAGCTAGAATGAAGAAGCTAACGTTGATTCCCTTGGATTTCTTATAAATTCCAGATGTCTTATTCTATAATGCCCAGGTAGTGAGACTGGTTCAGGTAGGAACAAGATAAACAGTATAGTCCACAATTTTTGCAATATTCATATTGGTTAACTAACATGGACAATCCAAGGATTATCCATAAAATACATCCATATTCTTAACTTCTTACGATGATATTGTTTCATTTATACTGCTTATTTTTATTGTGGAATGATTAAAGGAACATAAATAATTTTTATTCTTCTGAAATTTGCAATGCACAAATATTTTCTGATAAATTCAGTGAGAATGAGTTCAGCAGTAAATCCTTCTTGCTACTATTCAATATGATTAACACTGTCTCCAAACTATTCCATTTTCCATTTTTGTTTTTTATGGGGTTTTAAGACTTTAATTATTAAATTAAACAAAATTAATCTATGAATCCAATAAGGCCTACTGAAAAGAAATATGAAGATAGTTCTGCAGATGCTTATTTTAGAGAATTGAACATTTTCTTAGGAATTCGGCTAATGTTTATTTTGAATTATTGATAAATTTCTCTAAGTTTGTCTTGTTATTTCTATTGAGAATGATTTAGAGAACAGGCCAAGAGATGTACTGATTTGATTAAATGTAAAGAAACATGGAGTTTAGATTTTATTCATTTACTTCTTACCTTTGTGGAGGAGTTCAAGATGGCGCACATGCAGGATCCTCTCCTCTATTTCCACAACAAAACTTTTGAGAGAGGAAATTACTGTCCCAAAATTGGCTATGATAGACTGATGTTTGAACAGAAAAATACAAGAGGGAGAAGGCTACAACTTTAAAATATGTCCATATGAATAGCCAGTGAAATTCCACAATAATTTTAGAATGGTTGTTGGTTATTGATACCCTATACAATGTAAAATGACAAATATTTATCAGAAAAATGTTTTTACATTGTTCCTTCTATGGAAATATTTTGTACCCTCTGTTGAGAAGAAGTGAAGGACAATTAAATTGTTAAGAATTTTAAAGTAGAGTTTGAAATGTGCAGAGTTTAATAGTTTAGAACATGCATAACTGGTTGTATGAACAATATAACTTTTTGCCTTGGGTAACAATGGAATTTTTACATTGAAGATCAATAGTCAGGGCTAATTTTATACTGTCTAGGGATAGGTGTTTAATATATCAAATGGGCATGTAAATGTTTGACTACAATTCTACTGGAAAACTCACAATATTGTATGGTGGTATCAAAAGGTATGCATAATTTCTAAGTTTTATGATATGGCATAATTATAATGATGAATTGGTCCCATAGCGGAAAATCTTCTATGACACTTAAAAAATCATTGCATTGACAAAATTGACATTTGTCAGTTCAAAAGATACATAATGTATGGCTTGGATTGGCACATATACTATGCAGATACATTATGACATCCTAGGTTTTTGGGAAGAACCTGATGCCTATGAAGGCCAGCACAGCTAAAGAACTAGCAGCTATGACTCCACATTGTTGTGAACTCATAACAATAATTTGCTATTTGCAATGATTAATATAACATGTATTGAAAAAAAGGAAAGTCTTCTGGGAATGATTGATAGGTGGACAATGATGTGCAATCCAGTCTAATTATTTGGGTTACTGTGAAACCAACCATAATAATTTTAAAAATCAGGGTGCCTACAGCAAGCCATTCTGGGTTCTTTGAAAGATAAGAGGATTCTATCTTAAGGCTTCCCAACTCTGAAATACAATACAATAGAGAGGAAGTCCAATTGAAACCTCATGTAGTATATCTCACGTCTTTTCTTCTATTGTAGAAAAGAAAAACAGTAGCTCAACTTCATAATGACTTGCATTTTTATCACTATGGTATAATCTGCTACAATCATACCCCTACATTGGCTCCCAACATGATCCATGATAAGATCCTATTTTAATCCTTATTTTTCAGACTTTCATTTGTAACACTATGGTTTTTCTCATTGGCAGATTAGTTTAATTTTTTAAAAAAACATTTCCCTATATGCTCACCTGAACTGACCTTGTGTTAATGATTGATAGGTTTCTGGAGGAAAAAGAAATGTAAATAATTGTAATTTTATTACGTGAGTATTTTAGACACCATTGAAATATAAATCTGCTTATTGATAACAAATGAACATCTGTCCTCTGATTATGAACATTTTTGATAAACCTTGCCAAAACAATAGTTTAAAATTAACTCTATTTTTATAGGTGCTCTCTGTTATGCAGAATTAGGCACAAGTATTAAGAAATCTGGTGGGCATTATACATATATCCTTGAAGCTTTCGGTCCACTTCCTGCCTTTGTAAGAGTTTGGGTAGAACTACTTATCATACGGTAAGTAAACATAACTTTTGGTTTGTTGTCATTTTACTCCTTATGTGCTTTGAAAATAAAAGAACAATTATAAATATGATAACAGTTGACACAATCTATTGGTTTTTCTTTCTTAAGTTTTCCTTCGCATGCTTGCTTTCTCAGATTTTATAAGAGTATCTGATGTACTTTTATAAACAGATATAAGATATAGAAAATTTAGTTTATTATGATTAGGTTACCAGATTGTACACACACACGTGATAAATATTCACATATATAATAAACTCCCAGCTTAAACTCACAAACATAGTATACTTAAAAGAAATTAGAAAAGCTGCTCTGTATCACGAGACAATATATTTGTGCTCTGTGGTCTTATAAGCCACATAATATATATAAAATTGGTGAGATGTAGATATAGATATAGATATAGATGATGTAGCTTTTCCTGTAGCATGCTGAAAGAAAAAGGATTATATATTGATGACATTGTGAGTGGGACAATAAAAGATCTGCAATGATAAAATATACAATAATAGGATGTGTGTAAAGATTCAGTCTGCCATTCCGAAACAGTGCATGCAATATGGACTTTCATGTATATTATATTCCAAAAAGAACTATTGGAGATAAAGCAGAGTTAAAGTAAAAGCCCACTGCTGTATTAAATAAGTAACATGCTGGCTTCCAAGGCCAAAAGAGTTAAATTCAAGTTTAGCCAATATTCAATGGTAGCAATCCAGAACGTTACCTTTACCTTCAGAAGGCTTACTTAGACTCACAAAATAACATTGGCAACACAATTAGAAATATGAAAGATTAAAATGTCTTAGACATTTTAGTTTCGATTGATATGATTAATTTCAAGCACTGTACATTTGGGTATGGTCCAAGTTAAGATACATAGGTAATTTGTAGTTATTTATATATTTAGCATAAGGCCTCTACAGAGGTTTTTATTTTTATGTTGTTTACATTAATGTTTTGATTTTTCTGATAAAAATAAATTGGAAAGCTATAGACTTCTGGAGATTGAACACAGGTAGTTCCTAACCTAGAACCAGTCATTTGGCAAGCATTCAAAATTGCAACAGTACTGACAAAAGAGACTTATAATTGGCTATTACACTTATGATTGTCGCAGCATCCCCATGGTCACATGATTAAAATTCGGGTGCCTGGCAATTTCAGCATTCTTGTGTGAGGTGATCACCATTTGCATTTGCAACCTTCCTTTTTTTATTTTTTTTTATTTTTATTAATTTAAGAAACCACATAATACATTTATAAATGCAAGTAAAACAATTTACAACAAACATCATCTTTATAACATCTACCTATAATATCTGAATTGTTACAATATCAATATCCTATATTCTTCAATATACAATATTTCTCTCACCTTATATAATGATATTATTTTATTGATATCTCGTGTCTCTTTCTTAAATTTTATTTGATTTAAAACTTTATTTTACTATATTGATATCTTTTCTTTTATTCAATTTTTCTTTCTTTCTTCTTCTCTTCTTTTTTCACTTCCCTCTAACCATTTATACCATTTTTGCCAGACCAGATAATATTCAGATTCTTCTTTTCCTTGGATCTCCTTGGTAAGTTTATCCATCTCAGCGCATTCCATAATTTTGGATATTAATTTCTCTTGAGTCGGGACCTCTTCTTGTTTCCAATTTTGTGCGTATATAATTCTTGCTGCAGTCAAAATGTGTGTTATTAAATATATTATTTCTTTTTCATATTTGCTTGTAGGTATTCCTAATAAATAAGTTTCTGGCTTTAATGGCACCTTTTGAGTTATTATTTGTTCCAGTTGCATTTTTATATTGTTCCAGAATTTTTTAGCTTTGGAACATGACCACCATATATGATAATATGTCCCTTTATGCGCTTTACATTTCCAACAGAGTGGAGATGTGCCGGGAAACATTTTAGAAATTCGCGCCGGTGGTAGATGCCACCTATAGAACAATTTATAAGCATTTTCTTTGTATGGTACAGATAATGTTAATTTATTAATATTTTTCCACAAATTTTCCCACTTATTTAATTCTATTGCATACCCAAAATTCGTCGCCCATGTGATCATATTCTCTTTAACTACTTCCTCTGCTAGTTTATATTCCAATAGAAAATTATAAATTTTGGTTATTAATTTCTCATTGGGGCCTAATAAAATTTTATCCAACTGATCTGGTTCCATTTGAATTCCAGTTTTTTCCATATCAGATTTATATCTGGATTTTAATTGCAAATATGACCACCACTCTATTTCCACATTTTGCATTCTCAATTCTTCTCTTGTTTTTAGTTTTCCTTCTTCATTTAAGATGTCCTTATATGTTTTTAATTTATTTGTATCTATTGTATTTGGATAAATATGTGCTTCCATTATGGAAGTCCACTTAGGAATCCTATCATAGTGATATTTTCTGATTTCATTCCATATTTTAAGCAAATTATCTCTTACAATATGTTTGCGAAATTGTTCTTGTTTTGTAATTTTCTCTCCCCAAAGATATGCATGCCAACCTCTTGTTAAGTCAAAACCTTCCAATATTAATGTTCTTATGTTTTTGAGTTCGATCCAATCTTTTATCCATATTAACGCTGAGGCTTTGTAATAACTCTGCCAATCAGGGAGTCCCATTCCCCCTCTCTCTCTTTTGTCTTGTAGATGTTTTAATTTGATTCTTGCTTTTTTTCCCTGCCAAATAAATTTTAATATCATTCTGTCTAAATCTTTAAAATATGTTCTTCCTGGGTTTACTGGTATTACCCTAAATAAGTATAACACTCTTGGCAGAATATTCATTTTAATGGTAGCAATTTTGCCTAAAAGAGACAATTGGAGTTTTGCCCATTTTTCCAAATCCTTTTCTATTTGTTTAGCCAATTTAATATAATTGTCTTCCTTCAAAGTTGATATTTTGTTTGTAATCCATATTCCTAAGTATTTAACTTTCTTTGCTATTTGTATCCCTAATATATTTTCCAATTCTTCTTTTTGATACTTGTTAAGATTCTTTGTTATAATTTTAGTTTTTTGTTTATTAATTTTCAGTCCCGCTACTTCTCCATATTGTTGTACTTTTATCATTAATTTTGGTCCAGATTGTATGGGTTTATCTAAAATGAATACTATATCATCTGCAAAGGCTTGCAGTTTATATTCTTGATTTTTTATTTTTAGTCCAGTTATTTCTGTATCTTTCCTGATTTCTTCTAGTAATATTTCCAATGTTAATATAAACAATATAGGAGATAATGGGCATCCTTGTCTCACTCCTTTCTTTATATCAAATTGTTCAGTTGTATCTCCATTAATTTGTATTTTTGCTGTTTGGGTGTTGTATATCTTTTTAATCATTTTTATAAATCTTTCTCCAAATTTCATTTTTTCTAATTGTGCTAATAGAAATGTCCAGTTGAGATTATCAAACGCTTTTTGCGCATCTAGGAAAATTAGAGCTAACTGGTTTTCCGATCTTTGCTCATAGAATTCCAGAGTGTCAATAATTGTTCTTGTATTGTTATGAATTTGTCTTCCAGGAATAAAACCATTTTGATCAGGATGTATATAGTATTTGACTAGGTTTTTCAATCTCTGTGTTATAATTGATGTGAATAGTTTATAATCTACATTGAGAAGAGAAATTGGTCTATAATTTTTAATTTCCGTGGGATCCGAATCTTGTTTTGGTATTAATGTGATTATTGTTTCATTCCATGACTTCGGAATTTCAGCTTCCATTAATGCATCATTGAAAACTTGTATTAATATATCATCTAATGGTTGTTGGAATGTTTTATAAAACTCTGCCGGTATACCGTCTGTTCCCGGTGTCTTGTTATTTTTTTGTTTCTTTCTCGCTTCTATTAATTCTAACATTGAGATTGGTCTGTTCAATAATTCTATATGTTCTTCTTCTAATTCTTGAATCTTTATTTTATTTAAATATTCTATGATATTTTCTTCTCTAATCTCTTCCTTTGCGTATAAGTTTTTGAAAAATTCCTTTGCAATTCGTTTTTTGTCTTCAATATTCTGGTATAAACAACCATCTACATCTTTTAACTGTATTATAATATTCCTCTGTTTTTCTATTTTCAGTTTATATGCTAACCACCGTCCAGTTTTGTTTGCATGTTCAAATTGGTTTTGTTTAGCGATTTTTATTTTTCTTGCTATTTCTGTTGTTGTGATCAAATTTAATTTATGCCTTGTTAAATTTATTTTCTCCTTAATTTCTTGATTATATGGCTGTTTCTGTAGATCTAATTCATATTGATGTAATATTGTCTGTAAATTTTGTTTTATTTGTTGTTTGTTTTTATTTTTTTGTGCAGTATAGGCAATTGTTAAGCCTCTGATATATGCCTTGGTTGTGTCCCATAGATTTTGTAGACTGGTGTGCTCTTTCACATTAATTTGTAGAAATATTTTCAATTCTTTTTGGATCATATCCACATATTGTTTGTCATTTATAATATCTCTATCCATCATCCATCTTTTACGCTTTTGGTGTCCCTTCCATGTTATTTCAATGGGGCTATGATCAGCCCATGTGTTTGTTGTAATTTCTATTTGTTTAATGTCTGCTATAAGCTCTGCTGTCATCCAAGCCATGTCAATTCTGGACCACGATTGATGTGGATTTGAATAGAATGTGTATTGTTGTTTATCATAATTGAGTTCCCTCCAAGCATCTTGTAATTGAAATTCTTCTACTATATCATAAAATGTTTCTGGAAGTGTTTTTTTCCTGGATTTATTATGTTTACAACTCCTATAGTCCTTCTCTATGTTTACAATTGCATTAAAATCTCCAATTATGCATATGTTTTGGTATTCCAATTCCTTAATTTTGTTGTGCATCTTTTTAAAATAATCAATTTGGGTTCCATTTGGTGCATAAAGTGATACTAGTAATATCTTCTTCTTTTCTGTTTCAATTTCAACCATCAGCATCCTACCCTCCTCATCTGCAAATAATTGCTTTGATTATATATGATTCCGGATGTACATTGCTATACCTCTCTTTTTTTGTTCTGTTAGTGCCGTATAAAGTTTTCCTAATCTTTTGTTCTCTAATAAACTTCGTTGTTGTTTTTTAATATGAACTTCTTGTAATGTTATAATATCTGTCTTCAATTTTTGTAAGTTTCTAAAAGTACGTGATCTCTTTGATGGAATGTTTAGTCCATTTATGTTAATCGATATCAATTTTAAATCTTTCTCCATTTCAAATTTCTATTTTCTTGATGTTCTTATTTTCCTAGTGTCTTTTTTTTCCTGTAATTTGTATTTTATCCCTTGCTCCTTCTCTTTCCATTCTTTCTTTCTCCCCTCTTTTTCTTTCTTCTTGCTGTATTTTTCTCGGTTTGTTCTCCTGATTTGCAATTTCTTGCTGTGGTTCAGATTCTTGTTCTTCCTCAGGAAAAAAGTTGCTATCAAAAAATTGCTGTGCTTTCTCTGGTGTATCAAGTTTATATTTTTATCTTGCCATGAAACAAGCAGTCCCTCTGGCGTTAACCACCGGAACATTATTTTATGTTTGTGTAATTCTGTTGTCAGAAAGTTATAATTTTTCCTTGTTTCTCTTATTCTTCTTGGTATTTGTTTTAATGTAATTATTTCTTTTCCCTTATATATAATTGGTTTTTCTCTCATTTTTTTGTATATTTCCTCTTTCACCAACTTCCTTACAAATCTAATATGAACCTCTTTTGGTAACCTGTTTCTTCGGGCGTAATTTGTGAATATTCTATAAATTTCATCAATTTCCTTATTAATTTCTTCTTTATTCTTTAAAGTTGCTTCAGACAGAATTCCCACCATTACATCTCTCAAATCTTCCTCTCTGTTTTCCACTATATTTTGAAATCTTAGGTAAAATAACGCCTTTTCCATTTCTAAAAATGAAATTGAATTTTCCAGTTCTTTGTTTATTATTGTTTGAGCACATTGTGACTCTTCTATCTTTTTTTCTACTTTGCCCATCTTATCTTCAATATTTTGGATCCTTTGTTCATTTTTAGCAATATTTTGTTGAATTCTCTCCATCTTATTATCCATTTTTTTTAGATTATCCTTAATTTCACCTATGTCCATTTTCAAATCCTCATGGTTTTTCCTACTTTCTTGTTGGTTATCAGCAATTGATTCCTGTGTTTTGTTCATACTCTCTTGTATCATTGATAATACTGAGTGAATGTTTTTGATGTTAATTGATTGAGGAGATTTCTCTTTTTCTGAAAGTAACCTTGTGTCTATTGTTTTCTGTTGTGTTGATGACGTAATAGACATTGCTTGGTTGGCTATTGCCTTTTTACCTGGTTTTGTCATTATTAATAAGCCAGTAGTTGTCGTCTTAATTTTCTAATTTAATAGTTCCCAAATTTTCACACACTGTCTATAGTATATAATAAGATTTTCCTTCTGATAATTACAGAAGCCAATATCACTTGTTTAGTTTTCAAATACAGTCAAATTTCAAACTATAATATCATTATATGAGGGATTAATTAAATTTAAATAAGGAGCAGGGATAAAATATGATATCTCAGCAAGTCATATTTCAGTTTCTAAACTAAATATTCTATTTAGATATATTATTAATTCTAATAAGTTCTATTAAATCTTTAGTTATATCTCTAATAAATTTTATCAATTTTAATAAATTTATTCTTATTTAAATCAATATATATCAATATTAATAATCAATTTTCAATTCATTCTTTTAACACCATATCAATTTTTAAATTAATATTAAATTGTGTCACATAAAAAACTATTAGAATAGAAAAACAAGATAAAACAGAAATAAGAAAAAACAGATATGCTATGTGTTATATTATTATATCTATTCAAAACTTATATATTCCAACTTTTCTTACTTATATTAGAAAGTATATATTTAACATTTAAGCTTAAGTAATCCTAAACCTTATGCTATTTGGGCTATAATATTATATACTATATTCTATATTAAAACATTAAGTATTACATAAATAAACAAATAAATAGATAAAAGTACTTAAAAGTATTTAAAATATTATTAAAATAATTCAATTAAAATAATTCAAATAAATTAAGTCTCTCAAACAATAAAATAAATTTCTTTCGTTATATTAGGTTCCAGAATATATTAAAAAGTATATATTTAACATTTAAACTTAAGTAATCCTAAACCTTATGCTATTTGGACTATAATATTATATACTATATTTTATATTAAAACATTAAGTATTACATAAATAAACAAATAAATAGATAAAAGTACTTAAAAGTACTTAAAATATTATTAAAATAATTCAATTAAAATAATTCAAATAAATTAAGTCTTTCAAACAATAAAATAAATTTCTTTCGTTGTATTAGGTTCCAGAATTGAAGTCTTTGCAATCCTCACTTGGTTTTGTGTCTTTTCAGTCATCTAGTTTGTAATTGTTTCCAAAGTCCTTCAATTTGCCTTCTAAAAATATTTTAAACACCTCTTCCAGAGCCTCAATGTTTTTTATTTATTTGCAAGTTAATACTCTAATATAGTTACAGTATCTGTTCACTGAAGCTCTGCCACCGTTACAAAGTTTTTAAATCCCTCACAGTCACTCCCGAAACTAGATACTGTTTCTTCTTCGTCGCTTCTTTATTGTCTCCGCACCTTCTTTTTTTTAAAATAAGTCCAACACTTGGATCTGTATTTCTTTCCCCAAATGAATAATCTTTGTCTATTTCCCAATTTCTGTCTGGTAAATCTATAACTATGTGTTTTATTTCCAATCCACACCTCTCCGTTGCACTTCCTCAAAATCGCCTCAGCTCCGTTGCCTGTCAGTTTCGCCCCCTCACATTTCAATTAGCCTCATTAACTCACTCCGTTATATTTTCACTCCGTTTCTTCTTAACAATTCTGCTTTGCCGATCAGTTTCTGTTTTTAGTTATGTATCCGATGTCTTAAATATTTAAATGTTTCAGAATAAGAGTAATTAGTTATTCTTATTGATGCTGTTTGCTCGATCCTCGCTTCCCTTTTTTAAAAGCAACCGTCAGCGTTCTGGCCAACCGACAAGAGGTTGGTTTTTTTCCGGGCTGAATTAAGGGACTTTCCTTGAACCTTCGGGGCAATTTTTGATACTCCCGAGGTCCTCAGGATTTTCCCTTTTATCTATTGACCTCTTCGTGGTCAATAGAGCTAAAAAATTCAGCTTTCAGACCGAAAATTGGGACCTAGGAACGGAGCGCTGTCCCCTCGGTTCCTATCACGCTGACGTCACCAACGGATCTCTCATTTGCAACCTTCCTAATTAGTTTCTGACAAGCAAAGTAAATGAGGGAAGCTGAATTCACTTACAGATCATGTGATTCCCTTGGTAATGAGAATGGTTTGCTTAACAACCATGGCAAAAAATCAGGCATGACTCACTCAACAACTGCCTTGCTTAACAACAGAAATTCCAGCCCTAATTATGATAGTTGAGGACTACCATATACCAGTTGATGGAATCTTGTAGGTGGATAAATCAAGTATCAGCATTGGTCTTATTATTGGGAAGAATTATATTGGCAGAAATGAACAGATCATTTTGAGCTGCAGATATTTTAAAATGACTTCTTGTTCTCTGAAAATTACTTATAGCATGGGGTTTTTTTGTGTGTGTATTGGCATGCAATCTGTCATTCCTGATGCTTTAGGTGTGGTGGAGACACTAATTTACTACCATTGTTGAAGTAATAAAGTTTCATCCGACATTGCAGATGGTTTTATTTGTGGGAAAAGGTATTCTGTTATATTTTTGAGGCATGAGCAGAAGATGACTTGACATGTTACCTGAAGAAGAGTTATTTGTCTGGATCCTTCCTGAACTTATTGAAAAAATTACCTATAAAGACTTTTTAATAGTAAAATACTTATTGTTTACTGTGTTATGTTTTTTAAAAATGCAGCATACAAATGCTAAATTGCTAATCAGTTTATGTGTAGAAAGTTCAGTCCCTTGATTCATTTACTTAGTGACAGGTTCACATTCTGAAAGGATTTCATTTCTGTGAAACTAAAATGCTTTCTTACTTTCTCTTTCAGGCCTCACTCTAGATATCTCTTTTCTATTTATCTTATTGCTACATATACCCAATGTCATTCAGCAAACAACAAAAAATTGGATTTTTAACATGACCACAGTCATGCTTAAAATGCTAAGTCACCATGAATGTTTTGATTTCTTGACTCTCCCGGAAATTTCTGGGAGTACTGAATGAATTAGCACTGATCCAAATCTGAGACTTAAAATAAATAATGGAAAATCATTTTTAAATTATTACCGTTAGTGTGAAGAAAAATGCTTGTTCAAACCAATGACTATCATAGGATAATTTTGTCTTCCGCTGAAAGAACAACATACATAAAATATATATCTAACTACTGTTGTAAATCAATTAGTACTGTTTATATACAATAAACAGTTATAACAATTTAACAGTTAAACTGTTTATAACAGTTTATATACTGTTTATATACAGTAAAGCTAAAATTTAATAGAAGGTCTCAGATTAATTTTCTAAAGATCCAACCAGAATACCTGCTAATCAGTAGTAAGATTCAGAGATTGCAAAATTAAAAACATTAACTTTATCTAATAACTACTAATAGTAGTAATAATTCTTAATGACAACAGATAAAATCAGTGTGAGTTAACTTTTAATTGTTCTAACTTGACTTGCTGTTTTGATACTTCATTTAAAAAAAAACTTTTAAAAGGAGTACTGTACAAGGTTTAATTTTTCTGTTTTACTTGTGGCAATGGTTGAGCTATCAAGTTATTATTTAGGATCCATTAGGGATATAAATGCATTCTGGAAATTTGATATCCACATTTTTTGATACATATTTATATTTAATATAGGCACAAGATAGTGGTTTTGGCATTCCTTAGAAAAATAATCTCTTCCTTTTTCTTCCAGCCCTGCTGCCACAGCAGTAATCTCTCTGGCATTTGGACAGTACATATTGGAACCATTTTTTATACAATGTGAAATCCCTGACCTCGCTATTAAACTCATTACAGCTGTAGGAATCAGTAAGTACTGAATGTTGATAGAAAAGGGATTAGGCAGATGATAAGTAACAGATCATTAAAACCAATTCTTTATTTAATGGTGGGATATGGAAATCAAGTGCGTTGCAGAGAATCTATCCAACTTGACAATTTGAATCAAGTTGAAAAATTGGTTTGATTTGGGGTATGTAAATTAATTTGGAAAAGATCTTTCTGTACATGCTCAGAAGCATCCAAATCATTTGATTCAAAGGCATTCAATACAATTATTTGTTTTGATTTTCCAATTTGATTCATAAAGTTAATTCACTCAGATCACCTTGGAATCAAATATCTGAAGCAAAATTTATTCAGTGCTAATCAACTTAATGTTTCATATCGTGGAAGTTACCACAACTGTATTTTATTAGAAGCAAATTAAAATGTGAACTCTAATAAAATAAAATGATGTGTGGTAACTTCTATTGGATTTTTATAGGTTGTGTTGAATGTTGATGTATTAGGCTTGTTTTAAAAATAGAAAACTGTCAGGTTTCGGTGTCGTCAACAAGACACAACTATAAAAGGAAGATATTCAAGTGGGTTTATTAGACCAAGTTTACAGAAGATATGTTGTTATTTCTGGTAACCCTTAAGGGACTTTTGCTGATTAGGATGGAGGATGAGGTTTTAAAAATTTGCTTGTAGAGAATGAAGTGAGATATGGGATGAAGGGATTGTTTGTTGTATTTAAAGATACGGTAACACATTGTTAAAATTGTTTATGCTTGCTAGGACAAAGGAGAAAGTATTCTTTTCTTTTCTTTTCTTTTCTTTTCTTTTCTTTTCTTTTCTTTTCTTTTCACCTTTATCTTTACCTTTTCTTTTTACCTTTCCTCATTATAGTTTGTATTAGTTTTATATCTACATATTGTTTTCAATAATATTATAAAAAGAATATTAATAATATCAGAATAAGTCACTGGAAATTATTTGGAACAACAAATAATTTGTTTTATATTAATAAATTGCTTAAAATTAAGCAATATATGAGTAACTCTATGTGGGTTAAAATACATTGCTTAAAATTAAGCAATATATGAGTAACTCTATGTGGGTGTATGTTCAATGGGAAAGACGGCTGTTATAAACCTACACACAAATACACTGTGCGATAAGGAGAAATGGGAAAACCATTCTCCTTTTGAAGTTCAGTTTTTCAGAAGTAAAAGTATCCATTGGATTAGATATTTCAGTGAGATATCTAATCAGATAACATATTACAAATTAAAGAATGCAAAACATAACAATTTGATGTTATAATATGAGGAAAAATCTGGAACCTGTAATAGGATTCTCAAAATTTTAAGATGTTGAGAATTGCAAAGTTGCGAAGTATGTAAGTGAAGCTTTAGTTGTTAAGCATTGGAATTTAATTTTTAATCGTGTAGTGTTTTAGTACTTGGTTATCAGGTATCTAGACCATCTCTGCCATTCTGAATACTGTGGTATCTCTGCTTTCAGAGGCTCATATATTGAGCATTTGGAAGACAAACTTTTCTTCCCTTGCTCCAGGCTATGGAATGTATTCCTTCAGAGGTTGTATTTCCACCTTAGAAGACAGATAAGTTGCATCATTTTGGCAGATCACTAAATGTTAATGATTGAAATATTTTACCCTGCCTTGAGTGTTCCACAAGAAAAAAGTAATTACACCGAAACATCATCAAACCATGGAACTGGATAGTTGTCTATAACAGAAATTACAGAAAACAGAAATATTAATGGGTTCAGAATTCAGATCCACTGATGAGATGTTGGCAATGGATTTTTGCTATTAAAATAGAAAAATACTGATGGCTAGGTATTAAAATAAAACAAAAACATTTCTAGCTAGGGTTAGTCTAGTCTAGTTAGCCCTGCTTTACCTACATGTAACCATGAAAAGAAAACACAAATGAAACATTTACTCATTAGGTCTCATTAACTCATCCGCTTTTTCCTTAAGGCCAGTTTTCTAATTCCAGTCACCCATTTATTCTGTTTTGAAACTACTAAATTTAATTTAATCTTCGCTTCCATCCCCCCCCAAAAAAGCAGTTGAGGAGATGTTTTGAGTTCTACAAAAGTTCTTGAGGAGCAGAACACAGACTATATACATTATAGCCATTGTGTATATATTCTGCACTTAGTAATCTCCCCTTTATCATATTTTATTCGTATTTTCCTATAAATTTGAAGGAATGTTAAACATTTTGTAACATTTGTTTTTCGGTGCTTAATTAATTCTAATACTTATCTAGCAAATACATTTATGATTTGAGAATAGAGAACATTTATTATAGATGACATGTTTATACCTCAATTTAATGCAGTATTAATAATCAACTTTTCTGGGTAATGATATCTCTGACCAAAATACCATATCTCTCTGATTTAAATAAGAAATATATTCCAAAATATAGATAACTACTGGATGATAGCAGAAAAATATAAAAGATACTAATTTTTTATGATCATGTGGAGATTTGTTTTATAGACAGATATAGTGGCCTAGGGTAGATATAAGTAGGCAGTACAGGATGGTGAGGATGGCAGAAAATATTATTTGTAGTTCACTTCCTTCTATCCAGGACTTAGCATATAATTGATGCAGAGTCCGCAGTCAGTGGTGGGATTCAGCCAGTTTGGGCTGGTTTGGGTGAACCAGTAGCTAATTTGCTGCTGGCCCGTTCCCTTCCTACCCCTTCCAGGAGTCCCCGTACACACTCCATTTTGGCTCCCAGGTAAGTCCAGGAGGCCTACTAGGCCTAAAATGGGGCATGGGGTGAGGCACGCCTCCCCGTGGCCCGTTTGTGCTCCCAGGAGACTGCAGGAGGCCGAGTGCTGCCTGTCACACCCCCTGGCTATGCCCACCATGGTCACGCCCACCCAGCCAGTCATTAGGGCAGAGAACCGGTTGTTAAATTATTTGAATTCCACAACTGTCCGCAGTATTGTTTGGGACACTGCACATCCTCTTCATGACCTGGTTTCCTTCTTACCTTCTGGGAGGAATCTTCATGGTATTCAAGCAGAACATTCAGTCACAGTTTTGTTCCATAGAGCATCAACCTAGTGAACTCTCAAGTTTCCTCTTTTTGCTATGTAATATATATGTGTGTGTGTAGGTGTGTGTGTGTGTGTGTGTGTGTGTATAATTTATATTTCACTGATAAAGAAATAAAGGGAGACTAGTATAGATCTATTTCAAGCTACTTAGTCTCGTCAGCTTGCCATACCCTTATTGGATTCGAACTTGGGCTGCCTGCATGCTAGGCAGTCATGAATGTGACTGCTTGAGGGCTCCTGGATTGGAGCTGAAAGGCGAAAGGGTTGCAGTACGCTCCCTCCCACAAGCTGGGGTAGACCAGGTGTCTCGATAGAAAAACACTATGTATGTATGTATGTATGTATGTATGTATGTATGTATGTATGTATTATTGTTTTAGCCAGGGTTTTTCCTATGTAAATCAAGATGTTTATATAGCCATAGTTCAATGAAATCCCAATTCACTATTTTCTAGGCTTTATCAGACATTAACCAGCATTTTGCTGTCTGTTGTAAGACTTAAGGGAGACTAAAATAGATCTATTTCTGACTCATTTGTCTTCATCAGTTAGCCACACCCTCATCTTATGACTCCTCCCTGTTACTATGTGTGTGTGTGTGTGTGTGTGTGTGTGTGTTATATATGGGTATGGGTAGATTTTATATATCTATCTATCTCTATCTCTATCTATCTATCTATCTATCTATCTATCTATCTATCTATCTGAATGAACAGGCAACAGAATTTCATTTTTTATGACAATAAAGGTTGTCTTGTCTTGTCCTGTCCTGTCCTGCCCTGCCGTGCCCTGTCCTGTGCTGTCCTAGTAAAGCTTTCATCTCAGTTCACTTGGGATATGGACATAAAAGCTACTGGTCTCTATTCTATTACAAATTCCATTTCTTTGTTCTAAGAAGATTGCAAAGTGAATTATTTGGAGGCTTGCTCTGATTGAGACAAGAAGAAATAGTGGCTTGATTGTCATTAAATGATCTCCATGGACAGCAGAAATGCAGCTAAGAGTCTTTACTGTTGTGAAACATTTAGGTTGTTTTATGGAAAGCTTTACTGCCTCTTTTAATTAATAAAGAATTTAGCACTCTCTTTTATAAGGGTCCTGCAAATGATCATTTTACTAGGGAAAAGGTGGCCTTTTCATTCGGGGAAAGAGATGCAGTCATGAAGTTTTAATAACTGGTATGCCACTTTAGGCATATATCATGTGGTTTGTGAGCACAGCTGAGGTTAATGAAGCACTTTAGAACTGCTGCACAGCAAAAATGTATAGGAAGATGCTATAAAATATTAACCTATATGTGTTTTATAAATTTTACAACATATTGAACGACAATAAATAACAAAATCTCTGGCCATATATACCATCTAATATTTCTGATTATAACAATTCTAAGGAAAATATGCAAGATATGTTGCGTCTCTCAGATCAGTTTATTTGGTATATAATTTATATAGGATCCATATGGGTGTCCATTGGTCTCTGCCTGATTTTTTTTTCTCTTAGCCTAGAGACTAAGAGAATTAGGAATCCAATGCGGCAAGAAAACAATAAATGTGTTTTATTTATTTAATTTAGTACTTAATTCTCTTTATATGCTGGTCAGTGAACACTAGTAGGATTAAGAAAAGTTCCATGCCCTTTATGGTTCCTACTGGACCTTGAATATAGAAACTGAAGGATAAAAACTGCAGAAAACTATGAATGCTAATATTTGTCCATTTGTCTTTTGTACAAGCAAAACTGTGTATAGGCTGCTAAAAATGATATACCCAAACTCAGTTTATTTCTACAGGAATGTAGATCAGTGCTCTCTCAAGCTACTATATATTATATATTATCTATATATATTATCTATATTGTATATTAAAATTAATATCTATGTATTAAAAGGTACACACACTTTCTACAACTGCTTAACACTCTCTGCCACCTCTCTTCTTCAAGCTGTACCTTGTGAGTCATGGAAATTTCCAAATAATTAACCACTATAGAATAGGGAAGTGGAGCCCCCTTTCAGAGTGAAAGATGGAAATTCCCTGGAATCATTCCAACCACCAGTCTAAAGCCATTCTTCCTTGGAGAGATTCATCATTCTTCATCAATACCTATATGGCCAAAAGACAAGATGTATAATTGGGTATCATCATCTAATAATTTTAAATTGTTTTTAACTTTTATATTATTGCTTTTTATCTTGGCTGTACACTGCCCTGAGTCCCTTTGGGAGAAGGGCGGTATAAAAATTTGATAAATAAATAAAATAAATAAATAAATCATTAGCCTATTAATGATAACAACCCTCCTTGTCAGCAATGCCCTCCTTCAGCAGCTTCATGACAATGTGAAACAGGAGTAGATGGAGAAAAGATTATTGAGGGACTCCAGTAGAGTCCCTCAATAATCCAATAATCCTCCAATAGAGGATTAGAGGTGTCCAGATACAGTAGAGATCTCCTCTTTCTCCACCACTGATTGGAATCAATCTTTCAGGAATAAGAAAGCCTTTTAGAGCTAGTTTTGAAGGATGCTGTGTTCCATATCAAAACCTTTTGAGATGCTAAAGAAGACCATGAGGATTGCACTCTGCCAATTCTGATCCCTTGAAAGGTCATATACAAGCATCACCAATGCAGGTTCCATACTACAGGTAGTCCTCAACTTACAACAGTTCACTTATTGACCATTCAAAGTTACAATGGCACTGAAAAAAAGTGACTTATGACCATTTTTCACACTTGTGACCATTGCAGCATCCCCATGGTCATGTGATCAAAATTCAGATGCTTGGCAACTGACTTGTATTTGTGATGGTTGCAATGTCCCGGGGTCACGTGATCATCTTTTGCAAACTTCTGATAAGCAAAGTCCATGGGGACTTAACAGGTTCACTTAACAACTGTGCTACTAACTTAACTGTAGGGATTCACTTAGCAATTGTGACAAGCAAGATCATAAACTGACCTAACAAATGTCTCGCTTAACAACATAAACTTTGGGCTCAATTGTGGTCGTAAGTTGAGGACTACCTGTATAGCCGAGGTTGAATCCTGTCTTCAAAGACCCAGTCTGTTTCTTCTAGAGTTCTTATAAAATTACCACTTTCTGTGCAACCTTTCCAAAATAATTATCAAGGCAATTGGATCAAGCAAAAGCTTCTTGAGCTGGAACACAGCTTTCTTCAAAAGAAATACTCTGGACCAGGGGTGAAATGCTACACCGGTTCGCACTGGTTCGGGCGAACCGATGGTAAAAAAAAACTACTGATTCATCCGAACTGGTATTTTCAATGATCAGCTGTGCCACACAATCTATATTTGCAGGAAATTCTGCTTTCTAGCAAATCTAAATGGTGCGGCACAGCTGTTCCCCCCTTGCTGTTCTACTTACTTTCAAAAGGCTCCTTTTTCCTTGCGACGTGCACGTTTGGTGCATACTGCGCATGGGTGTGCAGCATGAATTTAGTGCACACTGTTTATGCTCACTAGTAGCGTGCGTTTGATGTTCACTGCTCATGCGCGGGCAGTGAACCGGTAGCAACCCGTGGAGGATTTCACCACTGCTCTGGACTCAAACCCAAGTCAGTTTCTTGCTTGGATCTATTTCCTTCCATCCTATGAGAGACTTTAATCAAACATAAGGAGCAGGAGTCCAATTCAGAAATGACAGGTCTAACAATTCAGACAGTTTTATCCACTTCTTCAAGACTCACAAATTATACTAGATTATTTAACAAAATGAAATAAGTGGATTGAGACAGAAGAATAGAGGACTGGACAGAAAGAGCCCATAATTCAGAAAAGCATTTTGCTTGTCACCATTAACTGAGACAGAGACAAAGTAATCAAGTGGCAAACCTGAGCCTTACTTACTACTTGTTAAGCCTCAGTGTATATTGAAATCTTTGTAATGATAATAAAAGACAAACTGCAATTGATTTTTCATTTGGTCATTTACCATTAGGAATTATTTTGAGGCACCTTTTCTCATTGATTTAAGCAAACTTGATAAGATCATAACACCTTAAAGTTATTCAAGGAAATAACTTTGTATAAATATACTCAATGAAGTTGTATTCTTCTCATTGTATTGTAAGCACTCCTTGAACTCCACAACATGATCTGGGAATTAAAAAGTGAGCATTGCTCAAACAAAAAGTCACTGCATAAAATGCGTGCATATTTGAATAAATAATATTTGATTATATGTTCAAGGACTAGGATGTTGTCTATTGTTATTTATATTTATTACTGATTTTATTTGTTTTTTACTGAATACCGGTCTATGAGGAATCCTAATAAGGAATTCTTGGTATAATCAATATTCTTGTTTTTGTTTTTTGAGAAATTGGTATAAAACTTTGCAGCACTGCTAGCCCTCTTTCATGTGGTCAGACATGCTACTGTACTATTGTAATAGTATAATTCAAATAACTGGTTCTCCTTGAAAGAGTTAGGAGAGTTTTTACATTATCCATTTTCCATTTCTTCACACACAAAAAACTGAAGACAGTTGTTTAGGAGTGTGCAGAGATGTAGCATGCATTTATAATTTGGTAAAGCCCACAACTGAAGAACTATTGTATATAGTAATCCTGAACATTAAAAAAATATATATACCAAAGTTTAATTAAACCAAATAGGAAATGAATCTGAATAGGAAAGTAAAATCAAGGGCGGGGGAAATCCTTGGTGCTTTCTGAGCTTGTTTGTTTTCTTGGACATTTCATTATCCAAACTAGGTAACATCATCAGTGCTAGTCATTACTTAACTTGGGTAATGAAATGTCTGCAAGAAAATAAGCAAGCTCAGAGAGCACCAAGGACTTCTCATCTGAGCTACAGATATTTTTCTTTATAAGTAAAATTAAGTCTGGTTTAAATTTTGAGTTACAGCAACCATCTATTATCAAAACTAGTTCTACAATGAGGACCAAGCTTAATTATGTTTACTGGAAGGCTAACAGAACACGATAATTGATACTTTGGAAGATGGAAAAGATTTTTAGTTGATGATACTTAAAAGTTTTTTTAAAATAAGCTATAAGAAGGCTGCTCATTAAAGGTTAGCAAGGGTAATGTGAGTTGTTCTACTAATGCCCGGGATGCATGGTAGGAGAGGTTCTGCCTAACAGAAGCTTTTATGGTGCTTTTGGATGGATGAGAAATACTTCCTTTTAACTTTTCTTTTTCTTTTTCTCCAGCAGTTGTAATGGTCCTGAATAGTATGAGTGTCAGCTGGAGTGCCCGCCTTCAGATTTTCCTAACCTTTTGCAAGCTTGTAGCAATTTTGATAATTATAGTCCCTGGAGTTATGCAGCTAATTAGAGGTATGAACTGAAAAGTAAATGCTATTTTATGTGCTTTCATCTCCCTCCTTCCCAGTTTTGCCCCTACCAAAGACTGCTTATGCCAGCAAAAATCTTTTAATTAGTCTCTGCTTGTTCAATTTAAGTTCCATATTGTCAGGTAAATAACTTGAAGTAAAACTTACATTGCAGCATCTGGCTATGAGATCATACTGAGTCTCCATCTATCATATTTAAATCTTGGACCAAAAGATTGTTTCTTGCAGCAAAATCAAAAACAAGCAAATAGGGTCTCAAAGATTCTTGTAATGATGAAAGACTCAAGCTTCTATACTATGTGTTTTATATAGAACAGTGCAGTGTATTTGTAATACAACTTTATAGCTTTTCTCTTTATTGGAAACGTTCTTGTATAAAGCACCACTCCCACTAATTGGTGTTCACTCTTAAAATGTTTCTTAAGTAGAGTGTTTAAAGTTCTTTAAGTAGATGAGTGAGTTCTATTCCTTTAGACTGCTGTTGGCTGCTGTAATATTTTGCTTGTAGCAGATGCTGGTCATAATGTAAAATCTGTAATAGTGTGGATTTACTACAAAAATAATATTTTATTACCATTATTCCAACACTGTTTCTTCATTATGAAAACATTTTTTCATCATGATCTAATTCAGCTATATGATAAGGATTTTGGTTTCTGACTTCTTCTTTCTCTTTCTGTATGTGTAAAAGGGAACCAAATACAGTTTAAATTAAGTCACAGTTTCAGTTAGTTTCCAACATAAGAACTGTAATTTGTCCAGGCTATGGCCAATTAATGAACCAGGATCTGAAATTAGGTGATGACTAACTGTTCAAACCATATTTTCTCATAGTCAGGTGTTTAATAGTGGAAAGCCAACTATGAATAAAATATTTAAATTTACTTGCTCCAGATTTTAAGAAAACACAGAAAAACAAAAAAATAAGTGCCAAAATATTATAGCATGGTGTGTACATTATGTCCATATGTCCACACACGTCTACACTTTAAAACAGACAGTGATGAGTTCAAGCTGAGTCTGTGTTCTTGAATTTTAAAAAATTGTAATTGTAATTTCAAGGATGGCCCCACAATAAAATTGGGAAACCTTAAAAGGATACAATTAAGAGTAACTTCCTAACTGGTAAGCTTATCAGAAGTAAAAAAAGTTAATGTTTTATTTTCAGCAGCATCTTTGCATCACTCAAGAACTTCTCAAGATGTTGATACAAAAATTGGGCTGCAATTCTTGGACTACACATTGCAATAAGTTCCATTACAATAAGTGCAAAATGTTACAAAAATGGCATGGGGAAATAAAAAAAATATATTTAAAAATGTAGGCTATTGATTGTTTCAGTTTTTTTCTGAAATTTAAATTAATCTAAAAATGCAGATTGTGCTCTGAAGGCATTCCTAATGGAAGATATTATAAGGGATATTACACCTGGCATGCAGGAACAAAGAAACTATTTTGGATTTATCTAAACGATTGGGATAGATAAAACTGAACTGGAAAAAATTACTGTATATGGATTTATCTCTGGATTGTTGATGTTAGTAATATTTTAACCTTAATAAAATTGAAATCAACTTTGGTATGTTTTTTTTCTTTCCCAGGAGAAACTGAACACTTTAAAGATGCATTTTTTGGAAATGCAGCCAGTGTCAAAGGATTGCCTCTAGCTTTTTATTCTGGAATGTATGCTTACTCTGGTTGGTAAGTTATACTGCTGATTTACTGAATGGCTTTTGATTAAGAACCTTCTTGCGAAATAAATTCTAACCCATGGAGACATTGCCTGAAGTTTTCTTTTAGTGGCTCTTTGAAGCTAAACATGGGGTGGAAAGAGATCCTGTCCTAGTGAAACTTTTCATATGTGAACTCCAAAACAGAGGAAGTTTCAGAGACAGATTCCAGAGTTATCTGCAATTTCAGGGTGCACAAGAAAAGTTCCAGGAAAACTGTCACTATAAATGACAGTGTTTAATTTCCTTGATTCCATAGGAGGAACCAAGGGAAACAGTGCTATCAGGGTTTCAAGTGCTACAATAGATAAGATTATACTGGTTTAATTTGAATTAGTTTTGCTACTCTGGATTCTCAATTATACTCGGTCATAAGGTGGCTTTTTTGGTTTGAGTATAAAAAATGCTATGAGAATCCTGCCAATAGTAAATGCCTTTGTTTATTTTAAAACAACTTCTTTTGATTTAGGCAAGGCATCTGCCTAAGTAGACATATAGCTTACTTTGAGATATAAGTCCATCCAAACTTCAAAATGGTATTTTGCACTCTTGTGATATAGCAGATTAGAGGGGTGTTTGGTGTTCTCTGAGCTTGCTTGTTTTCTTGCTGATGTTTCATTACCCTAACTAGGTAGGGTAATCATCAGTGCTAGTAAGGAGAGCTGTTTGTTCTCAGTTTATATTCTGGTGATTTACCTGTCTGTTTGAAGGTGTGTGTGTGTGTGTGGAGTTTTAGGGATTGTTTGGTTGGGCTGTTTACTAATGGGTCTTTAGCAATTTCTTGATTGGGGTATTGCTTACTTATCAACTTCGGACCAAAACTCAAGTAAGCAAGAAATTGCTAAAGTGCCATTTGTAAACAGCCCAACTAAAGAATCCCTAAGACTCTACCCCTCCTGCATCTTCACACAGACACCAGAATATAAACTGATATTGGCAAGAGAACAAGCAAAATCAGAGAGCACCATGGCCCCTTCATTTCAACCCTGAGCTACAAATATTCTCCTTTATTGATAGCAGATTAGAGTTTAGTAATTCCTGCTATTTCAAGATTACTTGCAGCTTTCGGTTTGTTTTCTAGAATTATATTCTGTGTTTTGTTTAGGAGCTTAAGATGGCACATAGAAAGCTACCTCCTCCTATTTTTCACCACAGAAAGAACCTTGTGAGGTAGTTGGGACCAGTGGTGGGTTTCAGTTTTTTTTTACTACCGGTTCTGTGGGTGTGGCTGGATGGTCGTGGAGTGGCTTGGTGGGTATGGTTTGGTGGGCATGGCAGGGGAAGGTTACTGTAAAATCTCCATTCCCACCCCAATCCAGGGGAAGGTTAGTGCAAAATCCCCATTTCCTCATGATCAGCTGGGACTTGGGAGGCAGAGAATAGATGGGGGCGAGGCCAGTCACAATTTTTACTACCGGTTCTCTGAACTACTCAAAATTTCCACTACCGGTTTTTCAGAACTGGTCAGAACCTGCTGAAACCTACCTCTGGTTAGTGCTACCTGCCTTGGTAAACCTACCCAAAGTCCCCAGTGGGCTTCCATGGTGAAAGTGGGCTACAATCTAAGTCATATCAGTGTCAGGCAAGACACTAACTGCTATACAGTTTAGCTCTTTCAAAGACAGAGTTTTAGAAACTGTGGATAGATCTGCTAATCACTTTTACCAACACTTATACTGTGAGATGATATTTTGATGTAATATAAAACAGGCTTCACATTGGAGACTTTTGTAGTTGGTCCTATACCATAAATCTGGTTACGCTTCTCCCCCTAAACCACATTTATTCCAAGCACATATTAAGACAAGCTATTCAAGTAGTATATAGAAATATTTATAAAAATGATGGTGTTAACAGCAACTTTGTTTTTATAGGTTTTACCTCAATTTTGTTACTGAAGAAGTGGAAAATCCTGAAAGGTATGTACCTACCCTTCTTAATTTTTAGCAAAATTCTTAAACTTTTAAAATTTATATTGCTGGTTCAAAAGTGGAAAAAGGTTAATATACAAATCCTATATTGTGTTTAAGATTATCTTTCATGATGGTCAGATCGTTTTTTGTTTTGTAGAGTCCAAACATGTTGTTGCTTCAAACTTTGCTATTTTTGATTTGACTTGTCCTTAGTTAATAAGCAAGTAGATCTGTAATCTTCCTTTTAATAACATGAGATCATTTCAGTGCCAGGGCCCTAAGGGAGAGTTAACATTCTTAATGAAGATTTTATAACAGATGTTATATCTTGAATATAAGTCAGCCAAGTTGTTTTGTGATTTCATCCTACTAAGACCCAATTTAAATAAGGAAGGACCCTGTGGACAAAATTCATGTAAACTGTTGATGCTTTAAACAGCAGCATACAATTAAACCATTTATGTGCAGGCTTAATATGTTAAAAAACTGAGTTCTATGAGAATGTTTTGCTAGACTTTTGGCATTGTTTGTAAATTTTCCATTAGATACATCAGAACTTTTCAATAAGGACTCCCTTTTTATGACGCTATAATCATTTAATTTGGGGTAGAGTTGGGATATATTGAATATTTATATGCCTCCGTCCACCATTACTGTCTGATGTTTAAATCTAATTGGGAATTATCTAAAGATTTTGGAATTGAGATGAAACTTTACTACCAGTGCAATGTAGTAATGTTGTTATGTATTCTGGGACAGATAATAAGTTCAAGTTTGGCAACTTGCAATTGCAGAGCCACAGGCTGTCCTTTCCCCCCTTTTTGCAATCCCTGAAGTTCAACACATTGGTATGATGGTTGAAAATTTGCAAAATGTTTTCATATAACTTTGAGGTGGGCCAACATGAATATTTAAGATCCCTAAATGTATTTTACCTGGTTCAAACTGTAGGAAAAGCCTTCTCCATTACCTTAAAATTGGAAAAAGAAACAGAAAAAAATAATCCCACCCACATACCAATTTTAATTATTGTCTGATCCTTCAGAAATACTAACTGTATGCCTGATCCCAGAAAATTGAAGTCATGTGATGTAGGTTGAAGTATTATATAGCTGAATGGAGATCCAAGAGAAGCAGGGGATACTTTTGTCAGGAAAACTTAAGATTTACAAAAGACTACAAAATAATATACAGCATAGCTTTCCAAACTAAATGATAGAAACTTCTAAAACTCTTCATTTTGCAAGATATTGAAAAAAACTTGAAACAAGGAGAAAGATGGAAAATATGGCCAGTATGTTTAAGTGCTATCCATAAAAACTAGCACGCTGAAATGAGCCATGGAGGAAGTCTCTACCCAGGCAAATTTGTCTTATTAGACACAGAAAAGATAGCAGATTGCATTTTGCTTATTTTCTTTATTCTTGGGAATAACAGTTGTTGCCATCTGTTTTGCACAGATATGTAATTTTCAACTCATTTGAATTGGTTCCAAAGAATGTTTCAAACTTTGGTTATTCAGTCCTAAACAGTAGACTATTTGCTTATTATCCACTACCACTTCCAGATTTGATTTATTTTGTCATAGGTGCATGGTGACTCAATACAGATATAGACTTCTATGTACAAAGTGGGGAAGCCCCATCTTTCTCTGTAATTCTTTTGTTTGGAAAAATGAATACTTGCAAAATCTGAGCAAAGGACTCAGAAAAAAGGACAGAGAAAAGGACAGAGAAAGGGAAGATGATTAGAAACTGTTGTTTTTTTTTGCCACAGAAAGTGAGACCAAAATTAACAGATAAAACTTGCAGCTAATGTTATTTCATTTAAAAAAAAAGATAAATCCTTTGACAGTAAGAGCTTACAACAGTAGTATAATTTACACACAGAATTTATGATTGTTCCATCTCTAGAGGCTTTGAAACCAAACTATCATTTTTGAGAGTGATTAAACTGATTTTCTTGCACAGTGCAGAGAATTGGACTGGATGTTGCTTACATTACTCAACAACTTCACAATTGTATAATTCTATTAATTATGTATACATACCAAATTAAAAAATGCATGCTACACATTTCTTGGAAGAAAGGTGAAAAAATGTATTCATTTTTTGGATTTTTTAGCCCAACCTTTTAGACTTTGTAGCCCAAGTTTGCAAATTGTTGGAAACAAATTAAAATAAAGATAACATGTGGAAAATAAGAAACTTGACAAAATTAACATATTTTAACATCATTAACATCTGTATTGATAGAGTGTGGTGGCCTATTGGTGAAGACCTCCTCACTCTCCACCTGGAAGGTTGAGAGTTCAATCGTAGGTGGCAGCAGATATTTTTATCCTAGGGCACAAAGAAAAAATATCTGCTGTGAACTCTGTTTGGTGTCAGGAAGGGCATCTGATCAGCAAACTCTCAGCTGCTAGCTACTCTGGCATCCAGGAAGTAGACATTGTTTCAGAGGCAAGAAAGGTTGAAGTGTTTGGAAAAAACTTTCACCTTAAAGCACCCTAAGATCAAATAATATCTTTTTGTAGACTTTACAATTTTGGGGATCATGCTTATCATGTTGAATAACTATATAACCTCACTGTGAAGAGATATATAGATTAACTAACTAAGCAGCCAAAGAAGATTTTGGGCTCCGAGGATTAGATTATTGTATTATTGTACTCTAGCTTGCTTTGCTGTGGGCCTTTTATTTAAATCTTCTGTCAGAGTTGATGTTCAACTTCAAAATTGCTGCAGAGTTTCTTTGACAGTGGATTTTCCACCTAGAATAATTACTATTGCCATGAATGACATCAGTTCTGTAATTGTTCCAGATGTAAAATTGGTAATATATTGTGGCAAACTATATATGCAAAACACTTCCTGGAACATAGAAGTGCATAAATATTTTGTCTGTCTATGTTTTGCCAAAATGAATGCTTGCTCCAAAATTAGTCACAGTTATGTTTCCTAACTGCACTCTATGATCCAGAAGAATGGCAGATTTGTATTCCTATCACTAGTTCATGCCCAAACAGTAGTAATTACCTTTAATATTACAATGACTGTATACTGGAAAATAATTATGTGGCCAAGACTAATATTTGTACCTGAATAAATAAATTTCTGTAACAGAAGGCATATATTTATTTATTGGTTCGATTTATATGCCGCCCTTCTCCGGAGACTCAGGGCAGCTTACAATGCATTAAGCAATAGCCTTAATACTTTTGTATATACCTGCTTAGTAGGGCTTTCAGGCCCCACTAAGCGGTGTTCTTTTTTATACAAAGTCAGCTTATTGCCCCCACAATCCAGGCCCTCATTTTACCTACCTCGAAAGGATGGAAGGCTGAGTCAACTTTGAGCCTGGTGAGATTTGAACTTGTAGTAATTGCAGGCAGCTGGTGCTACTTAACAGCACTTTAGTCTGCTGCGCCACCAAGGCTCTTAGCTCTAATTGAGCTAATTAAATCATTCAGTTAAACTGAATCCTTTAAAGATTGATTTATGTAACATCTTTTCAAGCCTCCCACCCCCATCCCAGACTACAATATTCTTTTTTTCTTCCTTTCGTTTGGAGCAAACACTGATATTATTGCTCATCTGGTAAAGGATAATTAAGCAACCATTTAATTAGAAACAAGATGATGGAAAAGAATGAGATAGTATAGAATAATTTAATTAAATGAATTGTAGAACAATAATTGATGGCCAGTTTGATCCAGCAGTTAAAGGCATCAGGCTAGAGACTTTGAGATTATGGGTTCTGGTCCAGCAATAGGCAGGAAGTCAGCTGGCTGATTTTGGGTTAGTCATTCTGTTGCAATATTTTTAGGATCAGACTCAATAATAATAATGAGAGTTAGAGGTTTAAATATATTTCTCTTTAATTATAATAGGCATTCTATATTCACTGAATATTCACAGATAGAAGCAAAGAAAATGGTGAAGATGGCTCCTTATATATACAAAGGGTGGAGCCAAGAGTGGGAGTGGTGAATTATGAATACATTAAGAGTCAAAGAATAAGTTAACCCCTGATATCCCATATATACATTATTTACACATTAGGGAATAAGGCATTTACATCTGACACATTCTGTCTTAACCCTCAATGCTCATGAGTCAACACCTCACCTGGAAAAAGAATACATCCCAAACAAACACGTCCCTGAGTACAACAACTCAGTTGTGGTTGTACTACCTGAAAATAAACTATCAAGCGATATACAGTAATTAGGACATTAAATCCCAACCCAGTAAAACATCTATCTTCTATATATTTTAAAGCATTTTAAAAAAAGATCTAGGTGAATTAAAATGTGATGTTAGGCTATAAATATGGACATCCAAACAAATTAATTTAGATATTTGGTATCAGGAACTGCTTCTAAAGTTTTTGGCTCCAAATGAAAAGCATGCAAATAAATGAAAACAACAACACTTAAGGGCAACATTGTTTAACAGCCAGAATGACCAGAAACATAGATATTGCTATGCTAGGAGCTCTGTTAAAGAAATATAGAATAGAATAGAATTCTTTATTGGCCAAGTGTGATTGGACACACAAGGAATTTGTCTTGGTGCATACACTCTTGGAGTACATAAAAGAAAAGATACATTCGTCAAGAATCATAAGGTACAAGACCTAATGATAGTCATAGGGAAACAGTCAATATAAATCTTAAGGATACCAGCAACAAGGTTACAGTCATAAGTGGGAGGATATGGGTGATAATAACAGTGCTGAGGGAATTATTTGTTTAGCAGAGTGATGGCGTTCGGGAAAAAACTGTTCTTGTGTCTAGTTATTCTGGTGTGCAGTGCTCTATAGCGCCGTTTTGAGGGTAGGAGTTGAAACAGTTTATGTCCAGGATGGGAGGGGTCTGTAAATATTTTCACAGCCCTCTTTTTGACTTGTGCAGCCCTAGGTTCTGTGAAATTTCTGGGCCTTTTTTCTGCTGACAAACTGCAACTCTGTGTTGCTCTCTGGGAGATATCTATATATATATC